TTCACAATACTCTCAGTTTCTAAAAACATTTGTTTGTTGTCGTTTTTATAAGATTTTTTTTGTTGTTTTTTTTTTGTTCCAAAGACATAATTGTTAACTCTATAAATATAATTTATATAGTTTCTTTCTTCCGTTCTCTTCTCTCCTTCCCCCACCGCTCATGAATTCACACAGATGGACGCCCATCATCTGTAAGCCGACGCGTCTCCTCTCACTTACAGACGAATTGGTCTACGATTCTGGTGCAGCGCTTGCACTTGACGTAGCAGCACCAGTGGAACTTGCAGTGGCAGCGCTCCACTATTGTGGCCTTGTACTGATCGTAGCCTCTGCCGCAGCACATCAGCTCGCACCCATCCATGCCCTCTGAGGTCTTGTTGCAGAGGCGCCCCACCGTGCCCAGAGAGCCCGTGCTTTGGTTCTTCAAGCAGTAGTCTGGACTGGATTCGATGTACACCAAGTCGTAATTCGTGGGCGGGTTGAACTTGCTGTGCATCGGCACCAGTTTCCCACGCGGGTGGAGTTTCATGGAAGCGGCACTGTCGTACTTCTCCTTGAGCGCGTCTCCCACCTTACGGAAGTCAGCCAGCTGCAGCCAGCAGGTCTTGAGGCTGCAGGAGCCYGACACCCCATGACACTTGCATTGGGCATCTGCAAGTTCTGACACCATCTTAAAGATAAAAGAAGGGGGGGTTATTTAGTATTTTCCAGGCATATAGATCAAGTCTATACTACAATAAAGTAACTGTTTTACCTTCTGTTATGAAAATGCTGTATATATCAAAAAATAAATTTCACTTTGCGTCATAGCCCATTTAAACCCCCTGAAATTGGCCTGTGTCTCTTTAAGAACTTCCTACCATTTMCAACACTTCCACTTCAGCAAGCCACCATAATAACGCTTTATGCTTTTTACAACCTTTCATAGGAGCATTGTATTTTGTTGTTAAAAAAAGCTATATTTAATATTGCTTTTGAAAAATGGCAACTCAGGTTACAGTTGAACCTTACTCAAATGATTCCGCGTTGGACCTGGAAAATGTTTTCTGAAGAACCGGAGTCTCTTTCAAAATGTTTCATCTTGATAAGAAATCATCCTCTCATACAAAGACGTCAATGTTAAGTTACTTTTTGCAAAGACACAATTGAAGGAAATGTGTGATCAATAAATGGAAGTCTGAATAAAATAGYAGAAAACCAGTTGAATCTCTTCTAAAAACTTTATTCTCGTCTCTGACTTCTTTCAGCTTTTCAGCAGGGCAGCAGTCAGAAGGCCTTGGCGCCTTATCAGAAAAGCAAAAGAAAACAGCCCAGGCTGTTATAAGACTGAAACTGCACAAAACTAACAAAAAACTCTTCTCACATAATGATGAATCAACCTTTTAAACATATGTCTCTACCTGRTTACACCCCTGAAGGTGTTACCTTTTACATCAGATGTTAGAACTTAACCAACTTTGTCATGAAGACAGAATCGATAAGACACACCAACTGTGTTTTAAACCATATGACTGCAATGATCAGAAAGTATAAAAATACAAAACTGGATCTAACATTCATTCCACTGTAAATATAGATTATAAAGAAACTACGTTTCACAATGAAATCATGAATATCCACCATTTTTAAGATACGTTTTTCTAGTATGGTGGAGCTATGTGGGGGAGGCACAAGGGAGGGGTACATGTGGGGCGGGAACTCGGCTGGGGACTGAGCTCCAGGGAGGAGCTTTGTGTAAATAGGCGGTGCTTTGTGCAAGCCTTTAGGCAGCTCTACATGGCTACCACAGGAGATTCAAGGACTTCTCAAAACGTGTATGAATGAGTCAAAGCAACACTCTGGACATGTTTCTGATAATGGAAGGAAAAGTTGATTTTGCATAATATCCCCACCCAAATAAACAAGTCACAGAGCAAAACAGTTTTTTTATGCTTTTGTGAATTGAGAAAAGGCAGGAAAATGGTATGCTCAAATTGCATATACTATGTATGAGACTAGGATGCTTATGGTCTCATAAGGAAGCACTTTTCTATTGAGCGCAGAATGATCCTGCTTGTGTCTCCAATCAAAAATAAAAGGCTGTCCAGTCATTTGTTCTACTTGAAAGAAAACAGCCTGGCCACAGATATAGCATTGTGTTTTCTTAAGGTGGATTCAAGATGTTTGGAAAAGGAAAACCCCAGTTCTGTTTCCAACGACTCAATTTCCCCCCACAGATCAAAGCCACTGAAGGAGTGAGCAAACAGAACTGTTGAACAGATGATCAGCAGAGATCTGTCTGACTGACTTGGATGGTCGTACTCAAGTCCCCCCTCTCTCATTTCAGAGTTTGCAGCTTCCATTGTTTTTCCCTCTAGTTTCTTATCAGATCACACAAAACAGACCCGGGTCTTACCCTTCTTCCCGCCTCGTTGTTGTGAATATTCATCAGCAGCCGCGCACTCTCATAAGAGCCTTTCGGGTAGGTTTTCTCCCTCTCGCGTGCGTCCACAAACTCCTTGGAGAACCTGTAGCCGTAGTTCAGGTTGTCTCCGCAGCCGCCCCACAGCCAGTCTCGGGGGAGCTCTTTGGGACGAGCGGCGCGGCTGCACCCGCAGCTGGAGAGCTCGCCCTCTCTGCAGGCACGGCTCACGGCGTTCACCACCCCCGCCGCACTGATGGCGTAGGTGAACGCCGTTTCTCGGCTGCCTGCGGAGACACAAAACGAGAGGGTGAAAGAGAAACATCCAGGATTCTGATCGTAGGYCCAGCTTGCACGCTCAAATCAAATCAGTGCACATCTGTGTCATTTTTGCTTTGCTTCRTGTGGTGCAATTAAATGTGATGTCATGTGACAGCATTCACGTACACTTTAAGATTACAGAGCRCTTCAGCCAAGTGCGGCAGGCTCGTCACTGACAACACGCCGAACAACGTGATTACGGTTTGCTGTTTCTGGGCTTYGGCCAGAGAGAAGAGTGCCCCCCAGTGACAGTGGTTCCTCTCAACAGGCCGCTGTCGCTTCATCCAAATTGAAAGTGGCAGTGACTTTTTTTTTTTTACTTTATCTGTCATGACTGAGTGATCCCGGAGCCACTACTCATTAACTCCTACTGCCTTCTAAACCTCAACATTTCCTCTATAGAGGCAAGMGTTCTGGAGACTTAAAGAAAAAGACACACAAAAATGCCCATAAGGCAGTATAGGCTGTCACTCCACCAAGCCGCAGACATGTACGGAAAGCCGAGATGAGGAGATAAGCAACTTAAGAAGAAACAGACGACAGAACTATGAGGCTGCGTGGTGAGATTGAAAGCGAGGGCGGCTACGCAATAAAAAAAAGAAAAAAATGCATAGCTCATATATACCTGCTGGGCCAGAGCTTTAAGAACTGTGCTGTAATGACAGTAACAGACGAGCAAATTAAATTAGAGAAAGGGTCTTTTAAAAAAARGGGCAAGAAAAATGAAATGGAAAATGAGACCCACACTCTTGTCAGAAAAGACAGAATGATAAATCTTTGAAAAGAAATGTAGGAGTAAAAACTAAAAAGTCTCAAAGACGTCTAGATAAGGAACCGACAGGAGCTCAAGTTATCAGAAAACGGGGAATTATTACTGAAGTATATTTTTTAATGCCACCTGAGGATTTTGGCCTAATGTTAGAACTAATCTGCAGACCTCGCTCTGATGTGCTACAGTTTTGAGCTGGACCGCCAGCAAAACCAGCAACTCCTCCAAGAGTTCTGGTTTGAAACTCACAAGCTTCCACACAGACGAGCAGAGGACATGTTTCTTTGGACCAGTGTGGACTGAAAGAAATGACTAGAGAGAAAGATGACCTTCTGCTCAAAAGGTTTTATTCAGGAGTCATCCACTATCGAGCACAAAACGTGGTTTAAAATTGTGGGTTATTTTTTCATCCATTTCTTAAACATCTTTGTCTGCTCATGTTTTCTGATTTTCTCTCCACCAACCCCAATCCTAATAAGTGCAATTTTAGTTTTTTATCATTTACATCATCCCATCAACCTTCTTTGTCACACAGATTTTTAGCTGATGGAAATAAGTTTGGTGGGAAAAGCTTTAGTAGACGTTTTAGTAAAACACTTCAATTACAACAGGGCAAACTGTTCATCATATGAATTTATATGTATTTAATTTGTTGACTACAAATACTCTGGTAATTGTATGCAGGTTTCTTACCGTGCTGATACTAATTGAAAACAGATGACTGGTCAGTTAGTATTTATCATATTTCCAAATTCTTAATTAGTTTTATACATTCATAAACATTGATGTTCAGCCATTAAAGTGCTTTAACTGGTTACAATGAATATATTGCAAATTTATACACAAATTTTCTGCCACTGTTACCATTCTTCCCTAGTTGCATTTATGCCCCCTGCTTTTATATGAAGTAAATTTCAATACGAGTAAAAAGCCTCCCTCCTTCTACTATTGGGTTTGGTGCAGTTTGTGCAGCATGGTGGGATCAGTCTCCTCTTTGACAAGAGTTTTGCAAAACCTGTATTTAAAAAATGGAACAAAGAAAGATGATAGCCAGTGTTGTGGGCATTTTCAGTTCACAGACTTCTGAGAAAAGCAAACTGTGTTAAACTTTGTTAAATTGCCTCATGGCTTCAGTAGCATCTGTGACCCCCGATGGTTAGCTCAAAAATAAAAAAAGGAAAAAAAAATTCTGCGACCACATTCAGTCTTGTGCATTACATTACAAGTGCTTAGGCCGAGATACGTGTAAATAGACATGCATGTCATTGGAGGTGAACTTGTACATCGTAGAGATGAACACAAGTTATGTGATTGGCTGATACTGAACAAGATTCACTTGTGATAAATCCCCAAAACACGACCACCGCAGAGACAAAACGTGATCCAGTCCCATTTCGCTGTCAAGCAGACAGAACTGCTGYGACTCTGACACACTTCACATTTTAAAAGGGTAAATCAGGAAGGTGGTGACAAACGCTGATGGGAAATTAATCAGTTAATCCAGARATATGATTCAGTTTGAGAATGTGAATGCAAACCTGACTAAAAGACATCAGAGTAACTCCATTTCTAAATACAAACAGACACACACTGTGACAATATATAGAAAACGCACTCAATTCATTTTTGAGCAGGTTAAAGCAAATATGCTTATAAATGCTTTCCGTTGTAACTTTGTCACCTTCGTCTGCATGTCTGAACTTCTAGGAATCTATTCAAAACTTTATTTTCCCCTCTCTCTCTTCCCTTACCTATTTGCATGACACGTCCAAAAACAGAGGAGTTGTCCACGGTGCTGCAGTTCCAGCGCCGATGTCTGAACTGGTACTGGCACTCTCTGATCCCCATCTTGGCGCCCTCACCGATGTACTGCATGTGGTCCTGGTAGAGCTGGCACAGCTTCTTCTGGCCCGCGGACAGACCCGGCAGCTGGCTGCACAGAGGCTGGGCGCCGATGATGTAGGCCTCTGGGAGCAGTAAAGGGTTCATGGCCAAAGACCTGCAGAGACAGACGGGGAGACACAGAGCGCAGTGTTTTCACTCGTGCCACCGAAATGATGAAAACGTTGCAGGCCAAGGTCGTGATCCGTAGTTGATTTCATTTGATTGGTTTTGGAAAAAAGCTGTGTTTGCAATGAGGTGCACTTAAGTGAGTTAAAACCCTGTAACAACAATGAGCTAAAAGGGAAAAAGTCAACCTGCAATCACTCAAATATAAAAAGTGAAGAAAATTAAAAAAAAAAACTATGAAGAATATAGAACAAATTTGCATGAAATAAAATGAAAATGAACCGTATCATGTATCCCTTCTAGCTGTGAGCAGTTCAAGAATTATTAGCTTTGAATCTTTCAGAGGACAAAAAGGGGACAAAATGCACAGAATTTAACTAAAATATCAAAAGGTGTGTCATCAAGATAAATTATGCATGTTGTAGCATTACAAAAAACATCTGTTTTTTTTTCCTAAACATTGCACAACTGCTTCAGATTTATCAAATGACTCATCGATGTGTTTCAAAGTCCTGACTCCCTGGGTTGGACAGTTTTTGAATGACATATTTTAACTGAAGTAAACTTTCTACTCAGAGAAACAAAAGTGATATGAAAAAATGGACTTGAAAAGAGCAAGAGGGGAACAAACAAAGTTTGAAAGAAAGAGAGAAAGAGAGAGTCAGAGAGAGTCAGAGAGACAGAGAGAGAGAGAGAGAGAGAAACCCGGTATGAGCATCTGGTTCCAGGCCACAGGACAATTAGAGCAGCCCATCTCTGAGCCCCCAGAGAGACACAATTAGCCCCCAGTGTAACCTGATCGACTGAGGAAACTCAGCAGCGAGGGAACGCTGAATGAACACACACACACACACACACACACACACACACACACACACACACGCACGCATAGCAAAGGAGAAAAAAATTCTCCTTACACAATGTCTTTGCACCCAAACACACATGAAGACTGATGCTCTGTCAACATCCACCACTAAATCATTCACACCTGTGCGTCCTCTGGAAAAGGAAACTGAAAAACACACACAGTCTGAGCTGCAGAGTCAACTTTCCAACACATATTTGCTAATGCGCGAGCCTTCAGCTGGGTTTGAAACGGGACTCAATATGAGTCTAAATGAGCTGAGGTCATTAAATTATTATTTTTTCTACATGAGTTCTTTATTTTGAAATATTTTCCTCTCTAAGAGTTTTCATCGCACGATGTTRGGTGCACAAATAGGTTTTTCTTCTAACAGGAAAAAGGAAATGAGCATTCTAATTAATGCTCAAAAACCACAGCGTTTTATGTTATGTTATATTAAAACTTTGGGTTTGTCAACACATGAAGAAAGAATGAGGAACATTGTGTTTAAAAGGAATTGCATGTTGTCTGTGCTTTCAAGAACCGAGCAAAGAAAAAAATCTTAAGTCACATTTAATCAGTTTTAAATTCAATTTAAAGCTTGTTGCAAGTCTTTTTTTTCCCCCTGTTCTGTTTCCAAATGTCTCCACTTTAAAAAGCACGATATAAAAAAGGCACACAGTTACCAAATTAGGACAAACTTGGATTAAGTAAAAAAGTAGGCATACCACCAGGAATTTGCCTCCATCACCACCTGCATGAGCAGCGTAACGAGCGTCAGGGCGAAGACGCAGTTTCTGGAGTCCAACAAGCTGTTAAACAGCCAGTAAACTGGCTGAATGGCACCAGACAGTCTCAGGTTCATCTTTTCTGCAAAGAAACACAACACGTTGTTATATTCATTGCTCATATTTTAATTATTTATACCAAACTAAAAACAAACAAAAAAAACTGATAGTGAGCGAGAATCCATTTGTTTTTCTGTGCTCCAATGGGCCTGATACGTTCAGGGTGTCCCTCACACAAAGACCACCAAGATTAGACTCCACCGCAACCCATTAAAGCAGTGGACAAATGTGCTGAAAGTACGTTATTGGCCTCATTTTATTTTTTTACATGAACAAGCTAAGCTCAGGCCTTAAGTGCTCCAACAGCAGAGAGAGTCATTTGGCAAAATAAAATTTGGAGAGAAAAAATCATGTAAAACTGCAAAAAAAAACTTGCAGCCTGAAAGGACACTTTGACCACAAAACTCAAGACACATTCCTCACGTWTGACTTTCAATCAAAGAATAAAATGTGCACAGGAGACTGACTGGGTGAGGCCTAAAACCTGCTTGGGAGTGTTGAGATTTTCATGCAAAAAAATAAATGATCGAAAACCACCTGGTTTAAAAATATTATGAAAAAATGGGGGATARAAATCGTTTTGGGGAGCAAATTTTAAATTTCACTTTTTTTAGTCAAACCTGTTAATATTGAAATGGGTTATTTCAGTGATTAGGGAAATTGCACATATTTGTTTGTTTCCCTCATTTAACTGTACTTTTAACACATTTTAATCTAACTTAAGCTTAACAATATTTTTGTTTTCTTACAAAAGAAAGCTGAACAAATGAGACTGCTGAGTATCCAATATTTATACATGTTTTAAGTAATTAATCTGTGAGGGTATTAAATAAATACATTGAGACTTTATAGCCTTGTTATTTTAAAGTCTAAATATTGATCGGACTGATGAGGGCCACGTTCGCGGACAATCACCCAATGTTTCAGCGCATGGCCCAGAAATTAAATGCAGCAAATAAAAATAAAAAAATAAAAAAACAAAATAAATACAAATAAAACGTCAAGGTGCGTTTTGGTTGAGGCAGCATGTTTCGAACAGAAGAAAGCTTCAAATTTATTACAGGGAGCTGAGCCGACATGCAGCCTGTCAGTCGGGGCGTGTGTGAACGCATCACAMACACGTGCTGCAGCCTCAGTAATTAATTGGTATTTTTGATCCCCCTCTTTATTTGCAGTTCTTCCAAATAAATAAAAAATAATAATAATCCACACAAATCAGCGGTTCAATGCCGATTTTTAAATGAGTTTTAGCGCCTTTAATTATGTGGAAAATTTGTTTTCAACCAGGATCAATTAAAAAAGTGAATTCCTCTCTGGGATAACTGGAGACTTAAATTGACAGAGGCATTCACCTGCATTTATTTATTTAATAATAGCGCCACGCATTTGTTCAGATAAATGTTTTTTTTAATCCTAATTATCACCTTCTTCGTTTCATCATTATTAATCCGTCTGCATTTGGCAGCTGATAAGCTGCGTAAATCCTGCGCTCAGTGACCCCTGGAAACGATCTGACCCGAGTTAAAACCCGGTGGCAGCATGACTGATGAGCGCTCTGAAAGGTTCTGTCGGGCGAAATTGGCATCTAAGAACCAGATGGATTTCTGGAAGAAAACAATCAGAATATGATCAGAAAAAAATTGTATAAATAAAAAAAAAGGTTCAAAATGAGACGCTGCTTTTGGCTGCATTAAGACGAATTTAGTGCAAATATTTGTCGGAATCAGGTGCAGGAAAGAGCTGAAAATATGAAAATCTGGAAAATGCATTATGTTGTTTTTACTGTTTTATTATTCCAACTGCTTACAGTCCTTTTTWATTGTCGTTTGTTTTTAATAACTGCAAATATGTTGGAAGGAATTAAGTCTTAAACACTTTTTTTTCACTCACGATGTTCACAAAGCTGTTTAAATTTGGCCCAGATGAGTGGCTGAGGC